ATATGTATGTATACTGAGGAATACCATGCTGTGACTTAGTTGACCTTTAAATTATTTGTGAGATTAAAAGGAAACACCCGGAGCAATGTAACTGATTTTACACAAACCAAAATCGATAGCAATCTTTAAATGAAACCAGCAGCTGCTAATGACAACAATTTTCATAAATTGGTACTCTTTCTCATGTGAAGACCATCAAATTCCTATTACAGATTAAAATTGGTGATCAAAAGACTGGGAAAATATTAACCCAAGACTCAGATATGATTATGAAAGGTTTCGAAACTAAACGCCTTATCTTCAAAAGAAAAATGAAAAACGCAGGAAGCTGATTATTTGATTCCCATTTCGTACCCAATAAAATGAAAGAAAGATCGAAAGAAAGAACATTTAATAAAGGCAGTACAAAATTCTTTATTGCAGTATATTTTGTGATCATATACAATTTGTGACGAAGTATTTTTAAGCAGTAAATATGAAAATCCCGCTACTAATCAATAGGGATAAATGCAAAAGCGTTAAAACTGGACATAACCCATTTTACCACAAAATCCATTCGTACCTACGGGTTAAACCAAATTACAGGCCTGTCTCTAGAGAAGTAGGAGAGAAGACGATGTCATACACTTGAGAGGCGCGTACGAAACCTCGGTAATTAAGGTCTCACTTTGAATTGAACGCAATTGGGCCAATATTCATAATTTCCTACTTGATCCTTGAGTGTAGTAAATTATGGTTCCTCTCTCCTTGGGTGTGAGTTGAGCTCGTCTTGAGAGGGTCGTTATGAGTTTAATGATGTAGGGAAGGAGAATCCCGTTTTCATCATTTCTGTATCGTCTTAATTGAAGACACCCCCCCCCCCAATTAAAACCGTCTCAAAGGGCAGTGAAAACGTTTAAATTGAGCGAAAATGTTTGTGAGGGTCGGAAAATATGTTTGTGAAGAGTGGTTCGTCATCATTATAAGTGGGGGTCACGGTGCAAGAGGTAGAATACACACAAACCCTTACTTTTCCTGCACAAATATTTTCTTTAAAAACAAAAAAGAGAGATTTTACACTGTGTTGATGATTTCTAAAGTTCTGAAAAGAGTACAAATAGCATTCCACTTTTAATGAGCCTCATGGGGAAATTTTGCTGACATTGCGTATAGACTCATTCATAAATACATGAGTGCATGCGCAGAATAATTTACCAATGTTACATATTATGTAGAAACACGTCTATTGAGACCACCAGTATGCCATGCCATAGTTAAAGTGGACAATGTGCGATACGCAGTGTTTGATCGAGGGTTTTCGTGTCTGCTCAAGCAAGCACGAACACACACACACACACACACACACACACGCACGCACACGCACTCACACGCACTCACATACATAAACATACACACACATACACACACATACACACACACGAACACACACACACACACACGCACACCGATTACTTATAGGCTACTTTGCAATACTCTGTGTTTTAGATAAGGTGATTATGTCTTGCTCAAGTACACACACCGATGTTGTTGTGAACTGGGGTGTCTGTGGACTGCCTACCCGCTCTGAGAAGAGTCCATTCCATTCATGTTGAGGATATGAGGGTACTAGGGGTTTTCATGAGAATGGAAAGACCTAACTGCCCCGTGACCGTGTAATTCCGGTAGGGTTCACGTTTCCCATTCCCCGCCACAAATGGCTACATGCTAAAGTTTTCTACTCTTGCATGAGGTATCGGCCAAGTGGGAAAGCCATTGGATGGTCACGTCCTGGGTCGTTGTGCCTTTACTAAGAGGTCCACGGTCAGAATCAAGTCAGGCATTCCGCTCGGCCCCTCCCCATGCACCCCGACACTCTCAAACTGGCTGGTACCTTCTCAGCCACAGAGGGTGTGTTGATAAGAAGCAGTAGGGGTGTTAGGCAGATTAGACACCCACTCATGGGAGAGTAGGGGTGTGTTAGTGAGGAGCATAGCGTCTACCACACATCGGTGGGGTCTGCCTCCTGCTTCTTGTGGGGCCCACCTGCTCCCATCCTGTTGTTTTAACCCCTCTAGGAA